AAAAAAAAAAAAATTTAATTATTATGAACCGTTGATAACCAATGTTATATACCCTGCACATATATACACTTCCATCACATGAATTTAAAAGTGCACATCCAACTTTTTTTTTTTTTTTTTTTTTTGGTGGGAGAAAGGGGGTTTGAACCCTTGACTTCAAGAAAACAAAACTTTCACATCCATTGGTATCAATAAACTACGCAATTCAATATATAGATAAACACAAAAGTAAATATGTCCAATGTTTCCAAAAAACATAGCAATTTTTTCATATAAAAAAAAAATCTCATGAGTTAAGCAAAATATAAAATATGTACTTTTACTAAATATAACGATCCATGAGAAAAAAAATTAATGCAAAAAAGTTGAACATCCTTGCTGAACCAGCTACTCTCTCAGTGAAATGATATTTATATACACTAGATCATGCACACGTGCCTTGCACGTGGACTTTTTGAGGTATAATTTTGTTTTAATTAAGATTTTAACTTTTTTTTATGGATCAATTAAGATTTTAATTTGAAACAATCAAATAAATACAATAGTAACTACATACATATAAATCAAACAATCTAAATATAACTATTTTAAAATTTTTGTAATTTATAATAGACGTATACTATATTTTTTTAGAATGAATATTAGTTTTTATCTTTTTTACTAACTCTTAATGTTTTGATGAATTACTTTCTTGTAAACTTCTACCCTTAAGGTTTAGAACTTTTCACATGAACCTAATAATTTTGATTAATTTTATTTGCAATATTATAGTAGTGGAATAAATATATTTTGTGGTATTCGGGTATATATAACTAAAAAGTATCACAGTCACTTATTAAATTATGAATAATACTGAAGAGAAACTGTTTTAAGTTATGATGGTTATCTAATTTTAAACAATTGGTTGAGTAAATTGAAGAAGTTAAGTTGTGGTAAGTAAATTAATATAATACTGAATATTTGTGGCATTGTTAACAAATAAAAATAAAATGGATTGTAATATTGGCAATACACATAACTAAAAAAGATGTATTGAAACTAAAACATAAAAGAAAAGAAAATGAAAAATAAGGATTTGATAATATTATCTAAGTTATATTAAAATAAATCTTATATTAAATAAGATCTTAGTGCCTTTATACAATTTCATTTGAAAATTTAGAAACTTGTAATCAACTAATGAAAATAGATACATAAATAAAAATTAATTTAATTATTTTAATAATTAAATTTTATATTTTAAAAGAAAGAATATGAAAGGCTTGGATGTGTGTAATATTAATGAAGTTATATTAATATAAATTCCATATTAATAATGTTAGTATTGTCTTAATTATGAGAGTAAAGTTGTCCAACTAAAAGTTTAGCATTAATGAAGTCCTATTAATATGAGTTCTACATTAAATAGGCTAGTATTGTCTTTATATTTTGTTTTAGGGATAAAATAGTTAATTAAAATTTTTTCTTGATAGTGTACTTTTATTAGTAGTATAGATATATACAATAAAAAACTAAAACAAGTTAGAATATATATCAACAAATTGTCACACAATATTTCTCTGAACGATTTGTCCAATTCTGTGAATGATATATAACCAAGATATATCGTATACATTTCTTCTAGTTGGTTTCACTAATACCTAATTTGTTCATAAACATATCGTGTCGGGTCCATTCGTTTAATAAACAGGTGACTTAAGGAAGACTTAAACCCACTAATTTTAGGTCGTGTTAATGGGTTGTATCATATTTTGATACTCCTAGTTTTGATATAAAAAATTAATTTTGTAGAGTTTAATTTTTTTTTTCTTTGAACTAGAAATTGTCTTTTGATGTAAAACTACGTAATTATATAAAATATTACTTATAACATGAAAAAAGTTGTGGCCAATAGAATTTTTTTTTAGAGTTTTTCTTCTTTAAACTATAAACTGTTTTTTAATCTAAAACAACATTTTAATGTTTTATGAAATATTATATACGACTGGAAAAATAACTGTCATAAATATAAAAAATTCTTTTGAGTTTATGAAATATTATGTGTGGCAGGAAAAACAGTTGTCTCAAATACAAAAATTTCTTTTGAGTTTATGACACTATTTACGACAAGAAAAATAGTTGCCACAAATATTAACAAAATATTAATACAAACACGCTTTTTGGGACGACAAACACAACCGCCATAAAAAATTGTCTCAAACACAACTGCCGTAAAAAATTTGTCACAAAAGGCCCTTATTCTTGTAGTATGATCCATGCGCAGGTTTTTTATGCATCTTCACATAATATGAGGGAGTGCGCATGAGGAAGAGAGATATACAAAAAGGATTGAATGAATGTGTTTTGTGACTGTGGAATACAGGGAGTAGAAATGACATCAATGATATGTTAAAACCCTGGAAAGAGGTTTATGGCATATCCAAATAAGCAATACAATTGAGACTTAATTCATTATGATTTTTGAAATGACCGTAGATCATATCAACATTAGAATTTAGTATCATTCCAATGATTTTACTAAAACTATATCATTAAATTAACAAATTATATCAAATTTGTAAGTCCAAATACCATTCCTCTATTTAAATATTTTTTAGATGCTCCATTGATTAGCTTGCTTTCCAGGTTGTTAGTTGTTTTAGACAAAAATAAGCCATACAGGTTGTTATTATGAGAAAAATTATTGGCACGTTTTGTTCATCTGGCAAGAGCCACCAATGTGCATCTAAATTGAATACTTTGTTGGTCAAGACTAGAGAAATTTTTTTTGTCAATGGCACTGGGTGTTTGATGTCTGGTAACTTGTATTTATTTGTTTTCAAATGGCGAGAAGCTAAATAGGATCGTGGTAAAAACGACAACAACTATTAATGATGATAACAACTGTAATCACCCGTAATCAAGACAATTTTTTAGGATCAGGTTACAAGAGATTTATCTCTCATGAAAATTTTAATTCTGATGTGGATAGCCTACTTTTGACCAAATCGAAGAAGGGAATTAGTTGAAGTGCACGTAAATTAAATCAGACACCCTTGATCGTTGAACTAGAAAAAAAAAATAGTTTCAACTGTTTGGTTCCGGTTTCAGTGTGGATAGCCTACTTTTGACCGATTCGGAAAGAGAATTAGTTGAGATAGACGTAAACTGACTTGGACACCCTTAATCATTGAACTAAAAAAAATAGTTGAAACTGCTTGGTACCCGTGCCGGTCAATGTTGGATGCTGCTGAAAGTTGTAATATTCTCGAAATGAATTAGTTTCAGATTTAATTATTGGCATTGCAATATTCGATGAAGCTGAGAGTTGTATCAAATGAAAACATATAGTGTATGATCTTGTGACGTTAACAAATACCATAGAGTAAATGGTTTTGCATGGCACCAGATACCATAGTGATATTCAAAGGACAATCCCAAATGAACAAAAAAACAAATGCTCATCATATATTGAACATACTAAATGTTGGAAACAATACACTCAGTGTCACTGTCATTCAGAAGTGCACACTGCCAATTTTTTAGCTATAATTTCTGAATGGAGAGTTTATCAGGATTAGCCAGTGAATGAAATTGGTTGAACATTGTGTGAATCAACGTAAATAAACAATTGGTTAAACATTAAATCAAGTAATCACCAGGAAAAAACAATCATTACAACTAAACAATCGACAGAAAATGGACATAATCTATACAACTTATAAAAGTCTCTCAACATAAAAAATTTTGGTTTTTTTATTTTAACCTTAATTAAACTTTTGTGTCAAATTTTATCCTTAAATGCTAGAAATATGAATAATACATTGTTGTTCAAGGAGGGAGTTTCTCTCACGATTGTACACGTAGAGTGCACGACATTACCTAGAGGGGGTGATAGGTTTTTCAATTTTTAACTCAATTGATTGCCAATTAAAATCTAGTTCGACCTCAATTACATCTTCATGCAAAGATATAACAATTTAGTGTGAAACCCCCTTTTAGTCACCACAAACTCTTATACCCTTGACGATCGATGTTAATTAATCTTTAATTAATTTACTCATATGATCAATGTCAAGGGGGTCCCAAAACCCAAACCTAATTGTAACTATGGTTGATTTATGTGTTGAGCATTCAAATCATTAAACAGATATTGCGCAAGTGTGCTAACAATTGCAAGTGTATATATAAATAACAAGATGAACATAAACAATTTATTGACGCGGAAAACCTTCCGAGGGAAACACCGTGGAGAACCACTCGGAGTTCACTAAAACCTAATTCACTATTCACAAAGTCAATATACAAATATTCAAGTCTTATACCTTAACAAACACCATGGATGTAATGACCAAATCTATATTTTCAAAACACAAAATGGTTTAGACAATCTTTTCTTTTAAAATCACCTATGAACTATACATGGATTGCTTCCTAAGTTAAATAACTAAGGGTTCATCTTAAGTATCTAAGTTATTACCTTTATCTTTAGCTTGAAGGTGAAATCAGAGTGTGAATGATGTAATTTTGACACTTGATCACCTCCCATCAATGATACTTTCGAATCTTCAATCTTGATAGCATCATCATGATCATGAAAAAGATTGATATTTACAATGAATTTTATAAAATGTGCCAAATATAAAATATGATCTAACACACATGATCATTTCTACTGTGCATTTAATGCATCCATATTCATATGCAAATGCCAAAATTCATCAATTCATTTGGAGAATACAACTAACCCCATGGGCAACATTTTTTTTCCATCTTTCTTGGCTTGTTTTTTTTTTTTGTAATGTAGTTTTTAGTTCTCTTTGACTAGTCCAGACTTGGCCTGTTTCACAAAGCCCACTCTTTTTTCCAACCTATCATATTCGAGGCAAAGGCAAATGCATAATCTGCCCATGAAACAAAGTCCACCCTTTTCTTCAATTTCTGTTTAATGTTCAGGCACTAGACGTGCCCATTAAGGGGTCTCACTACCCTCCTCTGGGTCATCATACATACTTGGCTCTTTAGCTAAACACATCATTTTCCGAGCCATCTGGTAAAGTCAGTACGCACGATGTTGGACTAATCTCCTTCGTGAATCTTTCACCATATGACGCCCAACTTGCTTTCACATCAAAAATTTCTTGCTTTAAAGCTTGATGAGCTTCCTTGGTCAATTTCTTACTAAAGTAGTATGCTTGTTCCTTTGAGGGTCGTTCATACCCAGTAATCAGTACTTTGTCCCAGGTGTTCATGGTCTATAACTATACAACACAAATAATTAGTTACCAATATATAGAAATAAATATGACAAGAAGCAACAAAAGCATCTCCTATATTCCCAGTCGGTTCACCCTGATTAGACTCCCAAGAGCCTGCATCCCATTGTGCCTGTCCACCCTCTCTTATACTCAAGTCACAACCCCTGCCCACACAGGTGGCCAGTGCCTTGCTTGTTCTATAGCCAACTCATTCAGTAGTAGTTGATACAACTCTGCACTTTGCTCTATACTAAGAGCCCTTGCCGTCACTTTGATTTTTGAAATTAGACGATGATGAACCAAAATCTTTTGACGTGTCGAGTTCACGAGTCTTGTCCATAATTGCTAGCCTAGTAATATTGTTTGGTGTTGTGCAATATACATTTTTGTTCACTTCCTTTATTTGGTGTAGTGAATTTGGATTATGGGACAACTGGGCACAAATAAAAACCATAACAAAAGCAAAGGCTTTCACCTAATACGTCCCCTTTGTATCCTACAGGACATAGATCTTATGTCGCCCACTAGTTTTTCTAGTTTGAACTTTTTAAGATTCTGATGAAGAAAATGAATAGCAAGCCAGTGGATTTTTACCCTTGTAAACATTATATAGCATTTGGCATTCATGATACCAGAAGCAATTTCTAAGCTCGAATTTGTGAGGTCTTGACCTTGCACAAGATTTAGGTCGGCCTTTAGAATATTAGTTTGGAAAAAGCCAGAAAATGTAGAAACGTACTTTCACCGTCAAATCCTACCTTGGGTAAAAATATATTTTTTCTAGAAAGTCATGTCATCACTTCTAGAAAGTCATGTCATACCCAGTGAAGAGAGTCTCTAACGGCCAAATATTCTAACAAATTGTGAGAACGACACCATCATTGGTGTGAAGACCACACCACCCTTTTGCATAAATAGGTGAGTCACCATCTTGCCATAACTTGTAAAATTGATTATCCCAAGTGTAACTTCTTTTGTCTTCCTCAAGCAATAGATAAACAAGAAGCAAGAGTTCACCACACCTACGTCAAAGGCCGAAGCTGAAGTCACACCGCGTGCTCTGAACGTTGAAGAGTAAGTTTAGACCCAACAAGATGCCGTAACTATAAAGACTCAAACTCAAGCATTGAACAAAGAAATTCAAGTTCTTATCTACTGGACCAACAACTCGTTGGTACCAGGTACTTCTTTTGTCAAACAGAATAAATTTATTTGAGTCGAATTTCATCTTTATTTTAGGAAATTCAGTTGCTTTGTCTTACCTAATTTATGACTTTGGTTATTTTTATTTGATTTTGTTCTATTTTTGTAAACAGGAGGTGAATAACAGGATTGACACAAGCAGATCAACTTTTTGTCATCAACTTAAGTGGACACATTACAAATGAAATAAAGTCATAATTTTAATTTCCAAATCAGTAGAATTTTAATCAATTTCGTTATTATGACAGTTAAATTAGGTATATAATACGATCAGTCTACTTTACCTATGACTTCACGACTAGTTTTTTTTATACTTAGTAAAGAGTTTGACGAGTAAAACTACAATATTAGAAGGTATCACTTCCCATACTTCGGCTCTTTGAAATAATCAAACAGCTTAATCAAATTCCATATTTGAATTTCAACACCCATTAAACAAGTTTTTCAGATAGGAAAAAATCAATGCTTTGTCATCTTCATCACCCATAACTCGACATTCATCCTTTATAGCTTCATCGAGAGAGAGAGAGAGACTGCTTCATCACCCACAACTCAGACGTTCATCTTTTATACATTAAACACCACCTTATTTTGCTTACCATAGGAGTAATCAAAATAAGAATACGAAAAGAAGACCGCGTCATGACTAATTTGCATTAACCAGTCTTTTTCCCCCCTTACAAAGGAATATTGGTAGCAACAATTCAGCAATGTCAATGAATAACCAGTAAGTATATACGATCTTTTATTTTAGACGGATCACAACGAGTAAACCAGTATATCAAATCTAATATTTCGTATTATAATTTGATAAAATAAAACAACATTTTGTTGCATTGTCACACTAGTGTACATTTGTATCGCAGCGGATTGGCAGCACCTTCAGGTGAGTATCTACAAAAGAAAACCAAGTTGAGAATGGATAAAGTTCGGATAAAATCTGTGACTGGAACATGTTTATTATAGCATCCGTTCTACACCCAAAACGTATTGCAGAATGATCAAGTTATTCTAAATTCTTATGTGCATATGCTACAGGTAGTTAGGGGGAAGTATTTAGCACCTACAATATATGCATAGAACAGGAGCATACCAAGTCCATTTCACAATATTCAAATAAAATTCAAACAAAAGCAGGAATTTAGCCTATTTAGACCTCTTTTCGGTGATTGATCATCCAACAGGAAATGCCAGATACTATGACTTAATATGGTTTGTGAAGTTGTTTGAACGATTCTGAAACCTCAGAACCAGTAATATCAGGCCACTAGTGATCCATGTCTGCTCCGAAGTCACTTTTCTGGTAAGACTCTGGAAACGGGGACCTAGAAACATAGGGGATGGCAGAAGCTACAAAAATCTAGAAATATAAAGGAGAGGGGTGCTTTTCTTTTCTTCTTTGGACCAAATTGTGTATTTATCCATCCCCATGCACATTTTGGCAAAAAAAAACCTGCAGAGAGTTCTGCTGAATAAACAGAAGAGAGAAGATAAAACTAGTGATGTTTGCAACGTTCCTTGAAACTCAAATATTGTAAAGGGAAGTTCAGAAAGAAACAAGCAGATGTACCAAGCCCAGAGCTTCAGCTACACTTCTACGACTCTCTTCTCCACAAACCCCAACTAGCATGCTCATCAGGGATTCCCTTTGTTCTACTTTCAAACGCTTTTCAAGTCCCCGAGCCACCATCTCCATCTCAGGCTGCAGAGAAAGATTCTTCCACATAAGATCCTTGAGTCACTTAATTTCAACAACCAAGAAACAGCATACTACGTTTACTAAGCAGGCTCAAAGAAACTGTGAAGAATTACTCCACAAAACTTTTTAACCAATCACAACGAGGGATAAATGCCCTCAAGTGACAACTATACAACAAGAATTTAAATATGGCGCACATAAGATGTTAAAATTAACAATAACAACGATGACAACACTTCAAGCCAAAGAATCAACTTTTTTTTTTTTTTTTTAAGGGGAAGGGGAAGGAGAAGGGGGATTTAATCCCTTGACCTTAAGAAGGCAAAGTCTTTACAAGAGAAAGAGTACCATTGAACCAAAGGCTCATTGGTAAAGAATCAACTTATGACCCCTGAAACAAGCTTCATAATGCAGAAGGTACACAGCTTGCAATGGAGGATAAGTAAAAGCTCCAGGATAAGACAGGCAACTAAATGGGCCCAGTCACACGCCACTCCGGCAACTGCATCAATGAAGTGCCCAAAACGAGAGCGCAAAACTCAAAAATCAGCCAGGCTTCCAGTCGCAACAAACCGAAATAAAGATTGGTCTTAAAAAAATTCATGGAAACACAACTACTATCTGAGAGTAAACTAAGAACCAAAACCCAAGTAGGCACCCACTTGAACATCATGTATGATCCACCGTCTTTATCGCATTTCTCGTATTCATAATACTTCCACTGGTTTATGATTCACTATAGATCTCATTCAAAATCTCAGAATTTTGTTTTTCAGTCAAATCTAGATGGTAGATATACCATTGATATGGCTTCACTTCTTTCTATGTTTGACGTTGTTAATGTGTCGCATGAGTCATGAGTCAATAGATAGAAGAACTTGGTTGTTGATCCTTTTGGTATTTTTTTTTCTTGCAAGTATTTCCTTGATTGATGATAATTCCTGCCTAAATGATTTGGGGCCTAAATGATTTGGGACGCTAAGGTGCCATAAAAGTCCAAGGCTTGTGCATGGATTGTAACATGGTAATATTTATAACAGTACATGGTTATATTTATAACCGTCCAACTCTGTTAAATATGATGAGACGATTTATCCAGTCAAAAGAGTTGATTAAACCCGCAAAAACTAGATTTGCTACGGCTTTTCTTACTCTAACGAGGATCAACCAACAATAAGGTAACTTGAAAAAAAAGTTCACTTCAGAAGAATGGACTACAAGTAAAAGGACCAAAGAACAACAAGGCAAAAGGACAGCACAAATTATTTTAATGCCTTCATTTTGGGATAATGTTGTCTATTCCCTTAAGCTTTCGGGGCCTCTTGTTCGTGTGTTTTGATTGGTTGATGGTGAGAATAACCCTCCCATGGGGTACATTTATGAAGCTATGGATAGGGCTAAAGAAGTGATTGTTAAGCCCTTTAATGGCAATGAAGAGAAATACAAACACATCTTTGAAATTATTAATTGCATCGAGCATCGGCCTCTGCATGCAGCTGGGTATTTTTTGACCCCAGAGTTTTTCTATTCCAATCTAGAGGTCGAGAAAGATCAAGAGGTCATGCTTGGCCTATATCTATATAAATGTTTACAAAGGTTGATCTCAAAATCTGGGATACAAGATCAAATTGGTCAACAGTTGAGTATTTACATGAAGGTGAAAACCTCTTTTAAGTTCTCTATGACTATTAGACAAAGAACTATAAAGGCACTAGATAATCTATATTATCCCACAAGCTCATTTCATTATCATTGCTTAAAACAACTTCGAATTTGCAAAGATTCGCAAAAAAAGTTCTAAGCCCTACTTGTAGTGCATCCGGTTGTGAGTGGGAATTGGAGTGTGTTTGAGCATGTGAGTATTGTCATCAAATCTCTTCAATTCCATTTTTTTAATCTTATAATAAATTTTAATGTATTTTTAATAAATTATTACAAATTCACACTAAAAAAGAAATAGACTAATTCAATCTCGTCTCAATGATTTGACATTTGTTAAGTATAATAGAGCTTTGAGACGTCAATATGATTCCCGTAACACAATTGATCCAATATCTTTAAAGGATATTGATGATAGAAATGAGTGGTCGCTTGGGAGAATAGATAAAGATGCAGATGATGATAATGAGCTCGTATTTGGTGATGATTATTTGACTTGGGGTGATGTTGCTCCTAGAGTTGGAGAAAGTAGCCCACAAACTAGATCAACACCATCTTCTTGGGTAACACCGAGGTTTACAACATCGTCGACTACACTTCCACTCATAGATGATGACAATTTCAGATGAGGCAAAGGAGGATGATATAGAGGGATATAAATCTAAGAATAATGAAGAAGATGGTTTCCTTAGTGAAGAGGATGATTGCAAAGTCCTTGAGATTTATGGAGTATTTTGTTTAGTTGCTTGAATTGTGTGTCTTATGTTTTTAAATATTAGGATTCGGGATATCATTAGTGTTTTTTTAATTAAAATGTTTAAGTTATGATTGTCGTGAAGATTTGAGATATTATTAGTGTTTGTTTGAATTTAAATGTTTATGGTTTTAGTTGCATTAAAATATTTAGTATTTGTAAAGTTAGAACTTGGATATTTAGAAGTAATTAAACTAAAATATTTACTTAATTTTTTATTGTTCGCTTCACTTCGGTGAAGCGCTCACTTTGCTTCTCTCCTAGGCCTTAGGAGACTTGTTCGCTTCTGTTCGCTTTACGCATTAAATAACACTAGTGAACAAACTCGTTTTCTCATAAAAAAGATGCACAAACAAAATGCCTGAAAGGAGAGAGTCAAATTAAAAAATCAGCCAGACTTGCAGTCACAAAGAACAGAAAATAAAGATAGGAACTACAACAAAATCATGGAAACACAACTACTATCTGAGAGTAACTAAGAACCAAACTGAAGTAGGCATATAAAAGAAAAGGCTGGGACAGCATAGTTCATAAAACCTTGGATCTGCGGAAGTTTATCAAATGGAATCACATGTTTAAGGGCAATAGAGGAAAGAAACAAAGCCGAAAGTGGAACTCGAAATAGAAAACATTAAATTAATATTTTTACGAAAATATTATCAAAATTTTAGATTGCCCCCGCTGTCTAAAAATCCTAGCTCCGACCCTATTGTAATCTTATGTAAGCATCAACTGTCAACGAAATCCTTTTTTCACGTAAAAAAGCTGCACAAACAAAATGCCTGAAAGGAGAGAGTCAGGGTAATGCATCACAAAGAACAGAAAATAAAGATGGTCTTCAACAAAATGATGGAAACACAACTACTATCGGAGAGTAAACTAAGAACCAAACCCAGGTAGAAAAGAAAAGGCTGGGACAGAGTTGTTGATAAACCCTGGATCTGCGGAAGTTTATCAAATGGAATTTGGTTTAAGGGCAATAGAGGAGAGAAACAAGGTGAAAGTGAAAACCCCAAATAGGAACATGAAGAGTTACGCAAGTAAAAATATATGCAGTGATTCAGGACATATAACTCTACCCAACTCAACTCAACAAAGCTTTGTCCTTTCTATATGGGATCAATAATATGAATCACATTTTGCATCATGCTGCATCAAGGACATTTAAAGACGTGTGGTATTTAATTATTGCTTATCGAAAAGTGCTTTTTTCATTAGTCGATATATCCATATATAGAGTTAGAAAGAGAGGAGCAAATTTTACAAGAAGATAGTTGAAAAGACGACAGAATATCTATGTGAACTTCACAGAGTGATGAGGACAAACCTACCGAACACTCTTCGGGAGGAAATATCTGGTGAATGAGACATATTCTTGACAGTTCCACCACTGCTTCAGCATGTTTGCCTTGCATTTCCAATGCCTGCATAACATACGGCACAAATTAATTAACCACTTGGAAGCTTGAAACAATCAGTAGGTCTGCTTCGTCATATAAGAAATATCAGAAGTTCAAGAAAGTTGTGCCTCTTTTTTCCTAACTAAGATTCGGAGCAAGAAAATATGAACTTCAACCATATACGCCACCACACTAAAGATCGATTGATCACATAAATAGTCCAGATATATTTTCAATTTTTTATCATATAATGTGGCTTTCATTTCAATATCACTTCAAATCAAGGAGAATTTGGCCATAAAAATAAAAGGTGCAGTGTTTCAAAATCTATGGGTGAAATCACCATAACTATCCTTCCAGAAAAGCAGTTATGCTGTTGACATGCAAATGCTGAAAAAATATACTATGAAATAAGGACAGGAGCAGAGTAACCTACCCATGCCTGTAAAAAACATGACCGTGTGCGTGCAGCAACAGCTGCAGACACCATTCTTGCAGCACGAGTATTCTCAAGCCCAATGTTATCAGCAAGCCCAGCAATGAATTGCCGGGCATCCTCACCATCAATCTCAACAAATGGAGATTGATGGGTTACCCTGCAAAAAGATCAAATCACATAACAATAATGATAGAACGACATAGTCACAACAAATAAAGCAGTAGTGATAAATCAACAAGGATAAGCAAACTAAACAAGGTGAACCTAAATACCTTTCACAAATTTTAAGGACAAAGTCAACTGATGCACGATAAAATGAATCTCGTACATTGGCCGTGTCAATGAGCACCCGCACTCCAGATATCCTGCATATTCGACGCAACTGCTGACCAGACAGGCAAAGAAAAATCCATCCCATCATCCAAGCATCAGTTACTGACCAAGACGATGTGAGACTACAGGTTTTCAAGAAAATAATTCCCGTAACGATGTGACTATTGTTGTATTATTCTTGCAAAAACAAAATGATGAAAAATAAACTTGACAAAATTCATATCAAGAAGAAAATTCTTAACTTGCTAAAAATTCTTCACTGGTTTCACTTGGTGTTTCAAGAGGTCTTGAGTTACCAAACAATCAACAGAGAGAAAAGTATGTTAAGGACGTATCAAGAGGTTTCTTCATGCCTCGTTTTGGTTTCACTTGGTGTTTCAAGAGGTCTTGAGTTACCAAACAATCAACAGAGAGACAAGTATGTTAAGGATGTATCAAGAGGCATTCGTCATGCCTCGTTTTGGTGCTATACAAGATGAGAAATAGAAGAAATTCTAATGACGTTCCATTGGTGAAGTTAAAGAAGATTGCACAAAGAAAGCAATCCTGCATAGCCTACTGGGATTTCAGAGGAGGTCCTTGCTGATTTCTTAGATGGGCTGAGGCTAAAAGGTTACAAATTTTGGGTATGAATCAGTGTTTGTGGCCTGTGGCTTTCTATTTCCATTTTTTTCTTTCCCCAAAGAAAAAGAACTCACAAAAATTCATTAGAAACTTAGGAAATAAGTCTAATACATCAACATGTACAACATTAATCATTTTCAGTGCACTACGTTTTGCCAAAACTAAAGACAACACCTTGAGGTCAAAAGATAGGTGTAAACATCTTTGATATTATATGGGGTCAGATGATTGAGTAAAATGACGATAGAATAGGTCAAAGAAGCACTAACTTGGATAATATCATCCTCCAAAATGTCCTTTCCGCTTATTCTATTGTCCATCATCGCTGGAAATCAAGTTGATCAACTGTAACTTGATGAAGAAAAGCATGACCATGACATTCATAGAAGTTTCAGAAATATTAATATCGTTATGCTGTTACCTACATCAAATACAAAATTCAACCATAAGGCAATGTCGAACAGAAACTAGCCATGTTAACAATAAAAATAAGGCTTCGTTCCCGAGAGGAGTAAAAGGCACGGTCAGGGGTCTCATGATCCCACCATTGAAGGCCTATCGGGGTGGTCTCATTTGCCCCCACCCCTTTTTTTCAATCAAAAAAAATAAAAATAAGGCTTCCTTGAGAGTGTTGACATGTTAATAATAAAAATTCAACCATTTTGCTATATGAGCTCTCCCCAACTAAATTTATGGGTTGTATTTCAATAATGCATCTAAGGTCGTCAAAATGTGTATCCGGATGCGTATCATTTTTTAAAAATAATGTATTGTGTATCATACGATACATTCAATTCGAATTGATATACATATATATGTTGCCATGTTTCTGGAAATTGAATTTCTGACTATTTAATGGTTTTAGGAACTTCAATTTTATTTTTAATTGTATTTGTTTCAATTAAAGTTGTTTGACCTTTAAAGTTGTGAAATCTAGCTTTTGGACATAAAGTATTCATAACTTTATAATATACTCTACAAGTAAATATCATTATATATGTTCTATCTTTATAATTATAACCATAAGTTTTTATATTACATGCTAAATTATCTAAAATATTTTTATCCGTTAAAGATACTTATAAGTTTGAAAAACAGTTAAAATATACAAGACCAGTACTTAAATTGGACTGCATAACTCCCATTAAAGATTGATCAAAATCAAGACATCTAGCATCCCTTAATGCTAGCATAAAAGAGGCATTTAATCCTTGAAGAGTTAATGGTTTTAAAGCAACTTAGACTAATTCTATATGTAGAAATTTATAATTATCTTGAGCCTTTAAGACCTCTTTTTCAGTTAAAAGTTGTAGAATATCCTTATTCTAGTCAAACGGAATGGTTCTTTCTAACGTTTTGATTGTTAAACTTGATTTAAAATCAAAAGTTCCAATATTAGAAATTTTCTTAATTGAATACTCGGGTATATCCCAGTTTTGCAATTTATTTTTAATATCAAACAATTCTATTTCTTTCATATTTTTAACATAATCATCTTTATGATTATTCCAAATAAGGGGAAGGATCGATCTATGCACAAAATATCAGCGAAAGCTTTTATTTAATATAGTAATTCGTACAAGAGTTTACTTACAGAGGGGGTGTAAAAGGCAGAAGATGGAGGCTATAATACAAGAGATGGGTTCAGAGAGGGCGCAAGCAAGGGAGAGGAAAAGAGACTGAGTGATGATCAAGGGGGCGGTGCTCCACAGGTCGGGCCTGCACCCCTTTATATAGAAGCCGGACTTGAAATTTGGATTTCAAACAAACCTATACTATTCACAACTTTAATAATTTACATTGACGTCATTGCATAGGTCAATAATACTTACACTTTTTACTATTCACAGCTTTTATAGTGACGTTATGGCATGCGTCACTTCTTCAAAGTTAACTTTATCCAAAAATTCAATTTTATCTGATCATTTTCTGTAAAGCAAATTATACAACATATCACTGCTGTCATCGTGGAGGTTTATCTCTATATCATCATTAAGTAAATCTTTATTAATAGAAATTCACCTTTAAAAGGGGTATATCCCTAAAAATCCATAAAGTCATCATCAGAATTAATAGGAGTAGGAATTTTCCTATCATTCTCCTCAACGTTATCTTTCCGTTTGCCTTTTATAGCAACTGTTGGAGTGTTAGCAAGGTCCATCTTTTCGGTTTTGCCTATTCCAAATGTAGACATCACCTGAAGGCGTCACTGCTCCATAACTGCTACTTTAAGTTGCTCAGTATTTAAATGGGAATTTTCTTTTTTAATTTGTTCTTTAAGAACTTCAACGGGATTAAATCGGGAATTTATAATGGTTGTGGGAATTATAATTGTAGAGGTTGAAGCTTTTTTTTCCTCTTTTCCCATGTCTTTAAGACATTCCGCTATAACTTGACATTTTGATTCAAGCGAATAATTATTCCAGAAACGCACATAATATTCCCTAATTAATCGAAGATTGGCCAAAATATCATTATCCTGTAAGGATGGACTTTTGTCTTTATACTAGTCAAATAATTTTTTTATAGGTTCGGGATTTATCCCACAATTATTTAAGAGGGCATTAATCTAGGTAATATAATTATTCTCCCTATATGAAGATAATATTAAAGTTTGGGGATAGTTAAAAGGGTTTTATTCCTGAGCTAGGCTCAGGCAAAAATAACGCATTGGTATCACTCTTATGTGATGATTCTTCTTCACAATGTTGATGATTGACAGTTTTAAGCTGTAGGTTATTAAAAGGCGAATAATAATCATTTTTATATGGATCAAAATAATATGCATTTTTATATGCATCATAAGTAATTTTTATATATATCCGAATAATATGCATTTTTATATGCATAGACTTGTGTTCTTACCGTGATACCCCCAAGTCGTTTTATCATTAGATGGCAGAATGCTTCTGGAGCAATAATTAATTTTAAGTATAAGATGAAATTTAGGAAAGTCTTTATTAGCTTGAGCAATTCTTAAAAGGAAGATAGGAATATGATCAATTAATTGATCCTAAATAGCATTGCAGTATAGACACCAAAGTGAAACCTTGCAACAATTAATTTGCCAGGTAGAAGCAAAGCTAAAAATATCCTCACCAGCATAATTGCAAATGCAATCAAGAAGTTCTTGTGATTTGGCAATAGGCTGAGTGAGAATGAATCATTATCGGGAAGCATGTTTAAATTTCCGGTCAAAGCTGCACCACTCCATAATGAGTTAGAAATTAATGACAAGTCATTTTTACTAAATTTTAAATTATTATGATTTTTTTTATAAGTCAAATTTTCTTTTATCTGATTTAGTACTAGCATTTTTTCTAAAGACAGAGTATTTATACTTAATTCATTCATATTCAAAATAACTTTATAATAATTATTTCGTGCTTTACAATGGGATGAACAAGCTTTATCTTGTTCCAAATTACTTTCTTCAGAGGAAGAATTACTTATTTCATTATTATTAAATTCCCCTTCAGAAGGTAATTCTTCTACTGATTTATTATCTTCACTATCTGGATTAAAGACAATTTTTAAAATCTTTTCTTGAAGATCTTCATCCATTATTAACTCATTGATTTGTTTTTTAGTTAAACACTTAAATGCAACATGTCCAACTTTCCCACATTTAAAGCAAGTGATAGACCTCTTGTCTTTTGCTTTAGTAATTTTGGTAAGTTTACTTTCTTCTTTATTGACTTTGTCCTTATCATAATACCTTTCATGGAATATATTGTTTTTTCTAAAAGACGTAGATAAGACTTTCTTTTTAATGATTTTTCTTTAGGTATATCTAAGTGATAGGTAAATTGGTTACAAAATTCTCCAAATTCTTTTGTACCAGTTACTTTCTACCTTTTTAATTGAGCATTTAAATTTAAGTCATTACAGAGAGCTAAACTTTCTGAAATGCATTCAGAAATTAATTTTTCATAAGTATAATTTTTATAAGGGATTTTAAATCCACCATGTCTTTGTCTTAAACGAATTCTTATTTTTTCAGCAAACAAGCTAGGTAATCTTGATAGAAATTTTTCTTTCCCTAATTCATTATTGGCGTATGATCTTAATAATACTTTTGCCAAAAATACATCTTTATACCACCTAAAATGAGTTAAAGTGGGGCATCTTAAATTCATTAAAAGTTCTTTACTTTTATCTGTGCTTTGCGGGCTTGTTCCTAAATATTTTAATATAGTTTGTATTAAAGTGTAAACAACATCTTCTTGAGTAGTTATATTATCATCTTCAACTGTTATAATTTTTACCGCATTTAATATTTCATGCCTTTGAAGTGAACTTAAATAGCTATCCCACCAGCCTTTTAATTGGCCAGTAAATTCGGTTGTTATAAATTTATCAGTTGTGTGATCATAATTACGATTAGCTTTACATATTGACGCATACATTAACATTCGATATAAAATTTGATGAATTAAATATTCTAACATGTCATCGATATTCCAATCATATATAGAAGAAGCATCATATCCAAGTTGATCAGTAAAAAATATCTCTTCATTTAAAATATCTTGAGGGGTTAATCTTGGATAATAAGCCCTCATAGGAGCTGCCTGCGAATATACATTAGATTTTGGTTCAGAAAACCCAATTTTATTTATTTTTTCAGACTGCATTTGATGTAAAGAATCTTCAAATTGATGAATTTCAGTTTCAGATTGCTCTACACTCTTAACCTGGGAAAGTACATTTAATGACAAATTGGATAATTTTTTCTTCAGTTCATTTATGAACTCATCTTCAACTTTATTGTGAAGATTAAATGTGGATGTATCCATAGGAGGTTTTATGTTTTACTATTTCAATTTCTCTTTCTTTTAAGGATATGGAAGACGAAGCTTCAGATTGATGTTCTTTTATCAAATTTTCAATTTTAGTCAAATGTTGTCCTATAGCAAACAAGCAAATATTGGTATAATTGTTTTGTCTTACAGAAATATTTATTCCTGTATAGCAAGCATTCATTACAATATCTTCAGAATCGTTTAAATTTAATTTTACTGGTTCAGTTGTTGGGGGATAAAAACTACTTACAGTTTTTCCATCTAAAGTCTCCCATTTATGTTGAAAATTTTCAATTATATTTAATTGATCTATGGTGGGTGGAGCATAATAAGCTAAAATCAGTTAACCTTTGTTCTCTTTCTATATAACGGTAAAACATTTTTTTATACTTTTTAAGGTCATCTTGATTCATAGTTCCGAAATACCAAGTCCTAAATTCTTCATATTTAGGAAGATAAAATTCTTCATTAATTTGATTTCTATAAACCACAAATTCTATTGGTTTTAAATCCATAAA